GGAGAAGAGAGAGAGAGAAGAGGAGAGAATAAGGAGAGAGAGGATTAAGAGAGATAGAGGAACGCTCCACGCAACCGAACTGCTTTCTGAGCTTAGTGCATTCAAATAACGGGGAAATGACCCAAACAACTGTTTTCAGCAAACACATAAAATCATAGCTTTTCAGTGATGATCGATACTAGTGCATGAAGCGCACCAAAAGCGGCCGCTCGCGCCGTCCTAAACGCCCCAGACCCCGGGCGTCCGCCACTGGCGGACGGAAGCCGTCGGCTCCTCCGTACCCCGAGGACAGTGAACGAGCCACATCACGACCGGCCGTGCCCCCCCCCCCCCCCCCCCCCGGTGGACCGCCAGGGAGCCCCGAGGTCAGGGAGGACGCAGCCTCGATCACGAGGGTCAGCGGCGACCTCACGGCAGGTGGCGATTAACGGTCACTATCGAAGTCGGCCAGCGATTGTGCCCCGCCTTGCCGTGCCGCCGGCGCCCGGCGTAGCCGGACGCCGTGTCCGGGGACTGGCATCACGGCCAGGCGAACTGGCTGCGGGAGCTGCTAGGGTGGCTGACTCTACATTGAGGGCTCCGACCGGCTGGGCTAGCGCGCGAGCCGAAGGGGCCTAGGGGAGGAGGCAAAGATTTTACGCGAGGGGGTTGATAAATCGTTTGACCCGGTGCGTTTTGCCTGAAGAGACGGAGTAACATTTCTGCTAGAAGTAACCCAAAACACCACCAACGTCGGGACCAATATACCATCCGGGTCAAGTGGTCAAACTGTGACGGCAAACTGTGCTTAGGGCACAGGACAGCTCACAGTCACGGCCATGGACTTCTTCAACTCCTTGGACTCCTTGGACTCCTTCCTCTTCACTTGGACTCCTTCAAAACTCCCGCGTCAAGCGCCTGGGTTTCGATTTCCGACGCAGGAGCCAGTAACTACTTCCAGTCTCCCGGAAGGCGGAGCGACGCCAGTTACCTCACCATCATAGGTTACACGTCTCCATAAACACCACCGCCAGTCACAAGCCTGCATAAACAAGCCGCCGGCAGCGGATGACGACGCGACGTGCAGAAACACGAGCATAACTCCTGCTTCCCCGGAGACAGGCGTGGACCGCCGCACTGTCTCTAGGTGAAAGACGGCGGCGACGGACGGGGGCCCAACGCCAGCGGCAGGTCCACGGCCGGACTGGTGACGTCGCCGCCGCCTGTCACCTAGACGACAGCCGCTTCTATGTAGTGCCTAACCGCTTGGGTTCGAGGGAGGGCCGTCTGCACCGTCACGCAGCGTTCATGCCGACGTGAGCGGCCACGGACGGTGCGTGGAATGACGGAGCACCACGCCTGTCAGGCTGGCCGCGGGCGGAGGCGCGAGACATCATGCGTAATCAACAGGTCGGGCCGAATAGCGCCCAATCACATGGAGTCATGCCACCATAGCGGGCACCGAGCGGGGTCGTATGAGATGATGGTCGTGTGGCACCATGACATTAGCGGCCACATGACGAACCACGTGATGGGGTCACGCTGATACCGTATCACATGTCGCGATGTCGTCATGCAGCCAGTGTCCACCCACCGGGGCTTCCGCGCCCACTCGCACCACATTGCACCAGTATTCATTTCAACGCGCCAAACACATCGCAGCCGACGCCGCATCAGAGGATGCTCCGAGCAGGCCACGAGAGAGAGCACACCCCAAAACAAGCCGCTGCGGACGGCGGACAGCGGGGAAAGCTGCTCTCCATGCCACCCGGCATGAGCACAGGGCTCTCGACACCGACGACAGTGGCGGAAGCGGCGACGGTCCGGCAGGCACGACCGCCGCCCTCCGCCGCCGGCCATCCGTCCGGCACCGCACTTGATACACATGACACACGCGACACACCAGCCCTCCTCCTCCATCCGGGGCAATGTGGAGGGAGGGGGGGGGGGGGGGTCAGTGTTGGTGGCCAGACGGCCCGTCAGCGACGGCGGTGGCATGGGTGGCAGGATCGCACCGGGATGAAGTGTCAATATACACACCGGACGGCGAAGACAGGCTCCCATCCGCTGAGCAGTTGGGGGCTGCCACACGCGGCTTTCGTTTACCGGGCGATAATTCAACGGCACATGCGATTGGTGAGATCGCTAACGACGCAGTTGTCGGTTCGTGCTGCCTGATGGGGACGGTTCTCCTGACCGGTTTCTGTTGGCTGATGGGGACGGTGCTGTTGGCCCTGGTCCATGGTGACAATGAAGATGGGACTGTGTTACAACTGTGCCACTTGTTGGCGTGGCAGTGGAAGTTGGCACTTTTGTTAAACGTCATTTTTCCTTTCTCCTTCCACGCCGCACGCGGGGCCTTCGTCGAACGGATGAGACCAGGGCTGAAGCACGGCTAGAATCGGTATGCAATGACTTGGATTTCCCGCCCAGAGCCCCGAAGTCAACCTGAAACCCAGTCAAAAGACCGCAAGAGCAGTCCAGGATGCACCAACATCTTAATAATCCACACCCGGTGTGCAGAACAGGTTTGCGGCCGCGGACAAAAAAAAAAAACTAATCGGCCCGCGGTCCTGCTTCTACACCGAAGCCGAACTTAGCGAAATACGCACGTGGCCATCTGAGGCAGACTCGGCGCGACAAGTGGACCTGGCCGATCTCGCGGGGGTCGGGCCGCCTCCGGGACTAACGCTAGTTTCATTTCAGCACGGGGAGGTGATTGACATTTGGAAGATCTCTTGGGGCAGCCAGCGGTAGAAAGTTTTAGAGTTTAAGAGTTTTGTTTCAGAGCGTCAATTATTTTCGGCCAACACGGAAAACTGACATTGTCAGTAATGTTTGCAGACTTGGTCTGTGATGGCCAACCGCTGCAACATGACGGAAAACAACGGAGCAAATGCTAACAAATCATACCGGAACGTGTTATGGACAGAATATAACCCAGCAGCCTGACCTGGTCTGATGACCTGGCCTGATCTTATTTTGGAAATACACAAATGCGCCGTCGGCGTTAGCAGGGCAACACTGCAGAAAACCAGTGCATGCTAAATGTCAACCGAATCTGGAGAGAAAAGGCGGCATTGCACCTCTATAAGGCAATTTTTGGCCGGCGTCGCGGCTGCAGCAGCGCAACGTCTTTCGCTGCCAGGAGGCAGGTGGAAACGCCCACAACCAATGTCACCAAACCGTTATGGACCTGCCACCACCGCCCCCTAACCCCGTTCGGTTCCCTCACATCACGTGCGAATACAGAACAGCAGCAGCACACCAGAAATCTCGATTACCGTGCCCGCGTCCAAACCAGATCGGCATCGCCTGGACGATGGCGACCGCTTATCAAAACTCTAACGGACGGACTGCATAAGCAGCAACAGCAGCCACTCAAGCAACAGCAGCAGCTCCAGCAGCACCGCCCCCACTTCCCCCGCACAAGGAGTGTGAGCGAATCTCGGACGGCGTACACGGGGCGCGACGAAATCTAGAAAGCGGAGTCGACCATCATTACACCTCAGCGCCGCTTCTCATCTGCCTCACAAGCGGCCGGCGTCCGCGCCGCCTGCCCGCGCCGTGGCCTGGCGCGGCGCGCCGGCGCCACCCTCCGAGCCGGGCCGCGGGCGGGGGACGGGGGCGCCACCTCCGGCTGGCCGGCGGGTGGGAGCTCCTCAGACATGCCGGCGGCGCGGGGCACGTGAACGCCGCCGGTATGGACGGCGGGGAGGAGGGGGGGGGGGGGGGGGGGGGGCACCAGCCTGCGACCGAGACCCGGCCGTGGACGACGGGCCGTTGCTGGTGACTTGGTGACGGCAAGTGGCCAGTGCCAGGCACGGACCGTTAGGGGTGAGCCCAGTGCAGTAACGGATCTAGAGCTGAAGATTCGCGTACACAGGGGTTCGAATAGGTTCGAACAGATATGAATCGAACACTTATAATCAGCATGCCAATGACAAGAAAGAGGAAGAGAAAATATGCCGAAACCTGAAAGTGATCATTTGAACATGAAATTATGTCGATTAGTGTCAAGCCAAGTTTCCCTAGATATAGCATCCGTGAAACACGCATACGTCGGCTCTGCACCGGACGGAGTGCACGCGTGTCTTTTGTTACAACTGTATAATCTGAGAATTCGATGCGGACATTCGAAACTATTCGAAGCTATCCGAATGTTAAATCCGAATCCGAATCCAAATCTAAATCTACCTACCCGAGGATTGGAGCCCCCGAAATGCTGGTAATCCTAGGCACAAAACAGCTCACACCATCAGCCAAAGACCCACTAGCGCCTGGTGGACGGGGCTAAGCTGGGAAAGATCACATCAACCCCCCCCCCCTCCGAAAAGCGCTGGCGTTAACGGACGATACGTCACATCGCTCCCCCGCCACCCTACGCACGTCAGGGTACTCCACAGTGCGGGCGCCCGATGCGACGGCACGGCACGGCACGGCACGGTCGGCAAGGCACGGCACGGCACGGCACGGCACGGCACGGCACGGCACGGCACGGCGCGGGGCGGCGCGGCACGGCACGGCACGGCACGGCACGGCGCGGCGCGGCGCGGCACGGCACGGCACGGCACGGCACGGCACGGCACGGCGGGGCGCTCACTGGAACCACGCCCACAAAGGGCGCACTGCAGCACAACCGTGACAAAAGCTCAGCGTAAACACCACGGGCGACTGCGCCCCGCTACAGCGTCCGGAAAACAAACGCACGCAAAAGCAACGACCGATCAGACAGAAGCCGTTCCGAACATTTCAACACATTAAAAAGCCCAGCCGGCATGTCCGAGCGCTTCGGAGTCGAGGACGGGCGCCAGGGACGCGCTCCCGGCGACACTGGCCATGCGCTCGGTCGGATAGTCCGGATCAGCCAGCGTGCAGGATTTGGCTGGCATGAGCGCTCCACGCCGGCCACAGTAATGTCCGGCTGACAGTTTGAGGGCCTCTGCGGGATCCGCGGCTTCCCGCTAACCGGCCCGCCACGCCGTGTGAACGCTGTCAATTTGGGTGGCTCTGGGTGACGCACGGCGCTCTGGGCTCCTCGCGTCGCGCGTGAGGCCACGGACGCAGACATTCCCCGAAAGAGGCACGCAGGTGCTGCATGCGGCCAGAGCGAGGGAGGGGGGGGGGGGGGGGGGGGAGGGCCTCTAGCCGCCTCGGAAGTCCGCAATCCAAGGGACGTCACAGCTGTGCTGAGCTCTGCCGCAGCAGGACTGTCGTACTCACCGAAGAATGTGAAGTAGTTGGTGTAATATCCCATAATCGTGAGTGAATACGGGCCTCGCAAGTCGAAAGTCTCTGACGCCGGTCCATACATCGCCGACTGTCCAGTGAGTGACCAGGGTCACCCTGGTGCCATTGGAGCCTTAATGACACCTCGTGGCCGAAACAGGTCAACCTGGCGCCGCTGCAGCCTCACTGACCGCCAGTGACCGGGGCAGGTCACTCTGGCGCCGCTGCAGCCTCACCGACTCTCAGCGGTCGGCACAGGCCACTCTGGCGCCGCTGCAGCCTCACTGACCGCCAGCGACCGGAACAGGTCACTCTGGCGACGCTGCAGCCTCACCGACTCTCAGAGGCCAGCACAGGCCACTCTGGCGCCGCTGCAGCCTCACCGACTCTCAGCGGCTGGCACAGGCCACTCTGGCGCCGCTGCAGCCTCACCAACCCTCAGCGGCCGGCACCAGCTGTCGACGAGGCGTCTCTCTGATGGACGCCACGCGCAGGCAGCGGCGCAGCCAGAACCGGCGTCGCCCACAGTCCCCACCCCACGAGCCGGCGGCGGCAGCGGTCGGACACGCCGCGCGGCGGGATGCGACGCACGGCGGCCGCTTCGGGCCGCCTCCCCGCCGGGGCCCGGCCACGCCACTGCCCGTAAGTGGTCCCTAACTGGGGCGCGACACCTGCGAGGGCGTCAGGTGTCAGATGCGACGACAGGCATGCGTTCTGTTTGGAAAGGCTTTTTGTTTAGCGTGCCCCGAGCCCGCGCGCGAGGCATCAGGCCGCCCCGCGTCGGGGAGAAGCCGGCGTGCCCTGCCGAGCAATGCCTTCGCCGAACGCGGCGTACCTCTCGGCGGAAGTCATCACTTTAGCCAAGAGACGTTTCATTCCCCGTCTCACTCCGTCGGGTCACGTGAGGCATTCGTTCAGAGAAAAGATGCCTAATGTTAGTTGATCGCACGCATTTTTTGGTTTGTTCAATCTTTCGACAGTTAACTGTAGTGCATCGATCACAGCTCTTTTGTAAAACTGCACAGAACAAAAATTGGGCAAAAATCTCCGCCTTGGTTGATTTAAACCCGACGAGGAAAGCCGTCTGGACCCATGCACCACACCCTCAGGCACGTACCACGCGTTTCTCGTATTAACGAGATGTAGCATATCATGTGGTCGCACACACCCTTTTCCCCAACCGCTCAGAAATGAAGAATACTCATAATAACGTATGAACAGTAATGTTATAGCAATACTGGATACATCCCTGATGTTAATATTTCACACATACACATATTATATATATATATATATATATATATATATATATATATATATATAATATAACATGAATGTATAATATACAATATATTTAATATATAGGGACCAGTGGCATCACAATCAGTTCTGAATACCTGAAAAAGCCACAGGATGTCTTAATGACCGAATTACCGATGCCACAGAATGCAATGATTTCGTGAAAATCCATCGAAACGAACATGCCTCCAACTCCGCATCGACAAGTCATACGTTATAAATAGAATCACAAACGTCTAAATCGTCGTTATCATTTCCCCAGGTTGGTACAGTGGATGTTGGTCAATGCATGCTGCGAATTTGTAAGTCCGAAATTCAAAAACATCTTTTCTTCTTCTTTGATTCTTCTTTTTTTTTGGTTCTCTTTTGCTTAATAAGTTCAATTACTAACCACTATACCCACCAAAAAAATTAATACTAGCAAGGCTTTGTAAACCTGGTTCTAATCCACCGGCACCTGGCCACGTGCGATGGGGATCGTGATGATTTGTCATATATCACAGCCGTTTAGGCTGTGCCATGTTTTACCTAGCAATGAGTAAATGCAGCTGAAAACTTGATGCCTCTTAGAAACAGAAACAACTGGCTTGAGTGTAACAATGAAGAGCCATTTCCGGCACAGGGGATTCACCAGTTGATTCGCACAGTGAACCGAGCCAACCGCAACCCTAACGCGGGGCGGTTGGGGTGCGGTGAGGAGCGCGGCCACAGCAACACCCGGTGAGGAGCGCGACCACCAATCTGTCAGCGCCCTCTCCGAAACACACCCGGTGAGGAGCGCGGCCACCAGCGGACCTCACCTCCGCCGCCGGCCAGATCAGTCAACTCCCCCATCCGAAACCTCTCGTCCGACGGCCGGTCCGGCAGGCTCCCCGGCAGACGCAGCCGACCCGTGCGACACCCGCAGCTCGACAGAGGCTGCGCTGTGGGCGGCGCGCTCACGCACACCCGCGGGGCCCATCCGGCCCCCGCGGAGATCACCGCAGATAGCCACAGGCGAGCACGCCGCGTCACGGACGACAGTGAGCCGCCGGCATCGGCGCGGGGTGATGTTTTTCAGGTGCTGAAGGGGAAGCGTCACCTTTGGAGGCTGTCACAGACATAGCCTGTGACGGATGCGCCGGATTTGTCACTGCCGCGTGATGCGGGTGCGAAAGGCTAGGCCACGCGAAGCCTACGATCCGGAATTAGTTTAGATGAAATTTCAAGCATACCACAGACATATGTCAATTGTAATAAGCGTAGATGCAAACCAAAGGCTTAGATCTTCCTCGAGAAAAGTTTGAGATATTAATGCATAAGAAGTTGCGACAAATGTTGACCGGTTATATTTTGCTCCCAAGTGTACGGCATGTGCGCTGTAATAATTTTGCGAGGTTGTGAGGTAAACAGGGAGCGAATGGTAGTATAGACGGTGGCGATTTCAAGCAAGGCAGTTCCAGTGTCTTACAAGTGGGGCAACAGTTCTGGTCGTATCCTTATGGCACGGTCAGCTAACATTGTAAAATGTAAAACATTGTAAAATACCAATATTTGCTCCGTAACACGTGTGCCGAATTTCAAACCATCTTTACGGGACTGAAACTTTTGTCTCATTCCCAAGAAATGCAAGTTCGGGTATTTTTGCTGGGCCCACACCTTACAGGTGTGGCGGCAACCGTGGTCCGTTGGCGGCCCGCGAATGAGTATGAGCAGTCTTATGACGTCACCGCATGCGTGGCCAGGAATTCCTGTCATTGCTGACAGCTGACAGAGCCTTAGACAGACTCAACCTCAGACGGAGCCATATCTCATGCCACGGCGTCTAAGTCGCCGGGTTGTCACTGGTTTGGAAGGCTTTGAAAAACGTGTTCTGTTGAAATAACGCATAACACGCACTCGTGCCACTTATGAAGAAAGCAATGCGGTCAAAAGCCAAGTAAAAAAGGGTTAGACGTGGCTTAACCCAACATAAATCCTGTTGATGAAACCATGTGTTCAAAGAAGTGAGCAAAGGTGAGCAGTCGTTGGTCATGGATGTGTAAGGTGAGCGGCCCGATAAAATAATTGTGACGATCGGCACTGAAAAAAACAACGGTTGAACTATTCCAGATAGATGAGCTGTTTGATTACGAAACTCAAGGAAGTGGCCTTACCGCTCCAATCAAACACAGCAAGTTCAATTACGCGTATATTACGTAAATTTTGGACTCGGAATGTGGTACTTTCCTCGCCGCTTGCTACTTTAATTTCCACTTAACATGCCTTCAGAGTTGCATGGCACACGCAGCATTTGTGTGCGCATGTCAGCAGTTGTATGTCCCTTTCACGCATTACTTCCACTTCCGCTAAGCGCATTCTCCAGTGTTTTCACGGCATGCGCAGCAATGGTGTGTGAACACACAGTTTGTCAAGCTTCGCCGATCAAGAGGCGCTTGTGTTTGGGCTACCTTAACACTAGCGGTAATGCACCAGGGTTAACCGCAGCAATGAACACAATTTATATAAACCTCGCGTTTTCCCTTCCAACTGCGCGAAAAAAATGTAATAGGAACTCTAAAGTGTTGCGCTAAAAGTGAATTCAACAGGTGTTTTAGCCCTACCAACTTTCTCAAGTTCCCGCGCCTTTAGCACCACACTGAGTAAAATATCGGATACAAATATACATACCTCCATTTTAAGAAAACAAACAACCAACGGACACCAAATGCTGCATTGTTTAACAACATACAACATGCAGCCACCCACCGTCCTTCGAAAATTCCTCACTTCGCAACGACTGGAACTACGGGAGAAGTTTCCGGCCTTTGAGCTCTGGAGGAAAGCCAACTCAAATTAAAAAAGCACCAGTCAACGCTGAGTGCTCTAGAAAATGAAACAGTTGCGGCTGTACAGCGAACACTTCAGTTCGTCCGCTCCGGGGCGGCCCCGTGTTACGGATACTGCGCCGCAGTGTTTGTGGCCCTCAGCTGCCGTATTACGCCACCGCAAGCGAAAACCTTGCGGTAGTGGTGCGGCGCGAAGAGAAAATCATTGACGGAATGACAGAGATCATGTCCTGGAGTCGATGTCGAGGTTCACCACAGAAGTCGCCGCTTCATTCACGTTGACCAAGTCCTTTCAAACTGTTCTGAGGCAGGGGCCCTAACGTTTGGAAGTTACAAGGACATGCATTGGTCACCATACACATCATAACGGGTTTCCAGATGGCAAAAGGTTATCAACAGCGACCCAGTAACCTCAGTATTCACAGCGGGAGATCAGGCATGGTCTCCGTATACAAGGATAAGCTGTCCAGAAGTAACCCAACCTTGGTGAATGCGTCATACCCTCTTGAACCCAGTTGGAAAGTGCCTATGACATGAATAACTGTGACACCTGACACGCTTCAGAAAGAGCTGACAACTCTCCCCTAAACGCTCATGAATTCCAGCACGGAGCCCATGCGCGTTGCGCAACGTAACACGAACTGACCTACAACCCTGACGCGCGCCTCATCATAATCTTCCGAAGCCTCCTAGAGTCCTGTCCTCGCTTCCTTCAGGGCACCACCGGCGGGGCTGTCGCTGAGCGCACCGCGGGTGTTAACCGCCATACCTCTCCCGTGTCCGTCTCACTGCCCGCCCGCGCCGCCACCCGTGCGGCGCGCCGAACGCGCGGCGCGCCGCGGCGATGACGACGCGCTGCGGCGCGCCCGACGCGCAGCAAGCGGATAAGCCGCAGCAGCCGCCTCGACAGCGGCCGGCCGCGTCCGGCGCATACCGGCGACGCCGGCGAGCGCCGCACCCGCGCCCGCCAGAGCCGGCCGGCCATGGGGCCGCCGGGCCGCGTGGGAAAGAACGCAGTCACACCGGAAAGGTACCCGACCGTCCGGTGTCGGCGCGGTGCGCTCAGCCTCGCTCCCACGTCGCCGCGACCCGCCGCTGCCGAACACCCGGCCGCCACCGAAACAGCCTCCGGCCGCCGGCCAGAGAGCGGGGACGCGGTCTCGTCGACGGCGGCAGGAGCTAGCGAACATCAGAGTCGTGGCCCACCGAACATGCGGCGC